AGTTCATGTCATCAAGAGGAAAACTTTGAAGAGTATGCACGTTTTGCATTTATAATAGGCAATCCAGATATTTGAAATAACCATGTTTGATTAATATAGATCCCATCCGGGTATAATACGTGGTGGGTCTACTATTAATAGGGGTCTTGTATAGCCAACTAATCGATTGCATTTTTATAATATAGTATTACATTTAACACATACTATATATATATTGTATAATTTGTAATAAAAATTTTATATATTATGGTTAACCTGATTTTTTTATTAATGTGAGCAATAAGTACTATATATACCAGTTAATTTTGCAAACAAAATGATTATTATAATAAAAAATTATATATATCAGAAAATTCTAGCAATAAATTTATCGGATAAATTGTAATGTGGAAAAATATTTAGTGAAGCCGGATTATTCGGAACTTCCGAATGTTTTCGGTAAATGCATAAATTATTTTGCTTGTAACTCAAAAATAAAAACACGTAACTGTTTAATATATGATCTACTATTGACTCAAAATTATGATGCATTAAATGTATCGAAATTCAATCGTATAATAATAAAATTCGCGTATTTTAGCATATATGGTCGTATAAGCTTTACAAAATCTCAGTGATCTAAAAGTAGTATTTGTAAACTTGCTCCGAATCAATTCTAAATTATATATTATTATGGTAAACAATATTGTAATAAGTCGAGTGATTTTAACATGTATTAATTAATTCAAACTATAATTTATCAGTTAATTTACTAACAATAATTGACATGATGCACGTGGAGCATACAATCAAAGGTATTAACAATAATACAATAATCAAAGATAATAATCATATCTTGATATAGAAATAAGGGCATAGTAAAACGGATTGCTATATGCTGTTGTGTTACCGTAAATCATTCAATTTTGGGCACGCACGAGAAACTTAGAGGACAAGCTTTAAACAAAACCCGGTAATCGATACAATGGTTTACTCTGACGTAGTAACAAAAGAAAACAATAATATATATGTAGATTGTTACGAGAAGGTTTAACTATACTGTAAGATAATTTTTAATTTTAATAGATTATTCTGGGCGGCCGAAATGGTAATTACGAGCGACATTAGACAACGTTGGAAAGGAAAGAGTGATAAAGAGTGATTAGGACAATGTGAAAGGATGTTCGAGTACAATTATTACAATTATTTCTTCATGGGTAATTCTTCGTTGAACATATCATAACAACATAACAGATAACGTGCTTACGAAACATAAGTGCGTATACGTACAGTACGTATGTACGTATGTACTGTACATTATACATCATAGATGATATCAGGGTATACGAAAGAGGAAGCGATCAGCCTGTGAAACTATGTAGAATTTTATTGTTCTACTGTACAATTGTAATCGAATAAGAATTTGAAGGTAAGTTCAAATACTTATTAAAGATAAGTTCATTCACAGTTTGAAAAGTCTATTATCGCATTGTGGAGTATAAAGTAGTGAATTGTGGTAATTAGATAATAAAACAATCATAATGTTTATCTGATGTTTACCTTCATATACACATTCCGTTTTGAAAGAAAAACAGGTAAAGAATTAATAATTAATTAATGCTAGTAATTTTATAAATAATCTGCAGTTATAAAATACAATAGTTTAAAATTTCTTGACGCCATTATTCTATACTTGATTTTTTTGCAGCTTTTGAACAATATTTATTGTAAATAATTCCATTATTCTATTTCATTTATTTCAGTAAATACTACTAAATGTATAATCAATTTACATCTGATATTATATTAATTTTATTTTAACCTCGGAAGGAATAGACTCTTAGCTATGTAAAATTAGTCCCATAGAATAGGTTCGCCTTGACTGAAAATCATTAAATGTGTAAATGTATCGTAAACAGAATGTATCCAAAAACAGAAAAAAAAGATGTTTGTTTTTTCTATTCACTGGATGGTTGACAATGAGGTAATTTGATGCTTAACTTACGTACGATTATTGTTTACAATGCAGTTCTCTGACTTACTACCAACATCAAATCTGTATTGAATATCTGTGGGTTGTGCAGCACGTACTGTAGCATGTACTTATGTACGTATGTAACGTATTTAATATTCCTTATTTGTAAATAAATGGTAAATCAATCTTTCCTTGAAATAGATACATTGTTTGTGTCATTCAAAAGTTTTGGTTGATTCTTCTTGGAAACAATATTAAGAGACGAGGAACGATTAATATTGAACGTGATCGCATAAAAGCAGCTCCTTCGTCCTTTGCTTCTCAAACCTGCGTTCCAAATCATTTCAACTTACCACCAAATAATCTCAAAAAAACAAAAAAAAAACAAAATTTTCGAATATTCCTTTCAAACACTGAAAATACGAAAAATTCTTGTCTATCCCTCAAATACAGCAAAATATAGATTTTACTACCTCTGCATTTGTTTTATCTATCTATATATTTTCGTCCTTATTTTTCTTTCAAGATGTTCTCAACTCAAGTAGAACAACGGCGACCTGACTACGTTGGTGGAAAATACGATGATTTACAACATAATCAATTGATCGATGGAATTCCTGTGACCTATATTCTTGAGAAATTACACCTGCTTGGTCCTCGTTACTATGGTGACAAATTAACTGCATTTGCTGAGGTACACGTAGAAGGTCTCGACAAAGTTTTCTATGTTCATGAAGAATATTTAGTCCTTCAATCTTTATTCTTTCGTGAAGTATTCGAAAATGTTAATAATGGAGATATTATCACCATTTCGCTTCCGTCTCCTGAAACTTTTGAACCGTTGTTAGAGTTTCTATATAATGGTGATGCCGATAAATGGTATGATACGTTGACGGTGGATAATTATTACGATGTCCATCAGAATATAAAGTATCTCGGTCTTGGACCGGCTGCACAGGCTGTGGTCTTAGCGTTTTATCAACACGAGATCGAACCGTTGAATGATAATTGTAATATTACCAATAATAATAATAATGATAATAATAGTGAATAACTGAAGGACAATAGATTTGTATAATTAATACTTCAATTTTATGTTTTTTCTTTCCCAAAAAAAAAAAAAAAAAAAACATTTATTTCACTAAGAACCCCCAAAAAGACATTTGTAAATTACCAAATCACATTCCACATATACAATTGCATATTCATTTTTATTTCATACACCATCTTTTCATATAGTATCAAAAAAAAAAAAAATTATGGTAAAATCTGAATTTTATGTACACACTTAAGCTTTTTCTAAGGAAAAAAAAAAATTGGCAATTAATAAAAAATTTCGGCAAAATCAAGTTTATTAAGATTGGTGCGAGTTATTGTATGAGTGTATTAAGAGTGTATTAACTAGATTAACTGATCAATTGTCGTTACTAAGATCTCGACCTTTTAATTGAGTAATCGTGTGAACAAGACGGTTATTCCAAAAAATTTTAAAGGAATGCGGCTTTCCTTTTTAAAAGTTACTAGTGTAACCTATCGTTTTCGCGATTTTGATTTTTTTTAAATTCGAACAAAATGAACTTTTATCGTTTTAACAATTTCTTTTGTAAATTTACCGTGAAAATTTTTTTAAAAAGTATAGTATATGGGATCTTTGCCTTGAAAATGACCTTACGGTACATGATACCGTAAGGTCATTTTCAAGGCAGAGACCCCATATGTTTAAAATTAAAGTTAAAATATTAATTAAATAGAACCTAAATTTTAAGATAATATATATTATTGATTTTATTAAAAAATAATAAAAATTTAAGTTTAAAAACTACTAATTTATTAATACCGTATAGAAAAAACAGATTATTACAAAGTATACAGAATAGTCAAGATAACTTTTCTATAACTACACTAATGTGTAGTATTATATCTTCAATTCTTTATTTTAAGCATTATTTTGCCCGCTTTAACACAAGTGTATAAGCTGCAGCAAGTTATAATTAGTTTAAAAAAGAGAGAAAAGAATCTTCAATAAAAATTATTTTTAACATTATATAGTATATTATTTATTAGTATACTGTGATGGATACTATTGGAAAGTTGTATGATAGTATTAAATAAGTACTGTAACAAATAAAAAACAAATTTTTCTTTATCAACTGCTTATCGGTATTAGTGTTTTTATAGACTAAACTCAAACCAAACTTTAATTAAGTTTGGGTTCCCTATTATTTCTCTAATATTATTTTTCTGACAATTACTTTTCTGAAAAAATTTCACTAACAATTCTTTTATAACACTTTTGACAGCCAATTCTCCAATACTTTTATTTTTTTGACACTTTATTTCTCTGACATTTTATGAAATGTCAAAGAAAAAAAGTATTCGAGAATTTTGTTGGGAAATAACTGTTAAAAAAATAATTGTTAGTGAAATAATGTTAGAAAAATTATAGAAAACCTTAAATTTGAGTTTGGTTTAAAAAAACAATTTAAGTTTGGTTTAAAAAATTAAATTTTTAATTAACTTTTAAGTTTGGTTTGGATTTAAATTTAAAGTTTGCAAATTAGGTTGTGTTTAAATATAAATAAATAAAGAAATATATATTTGGTTTTAAAAAATAAAAGAGATTTAATTTATAGTGCTTTAGCACTATAACACTAAAGTATTGTAACCAATTAAAATTTAAACTCAGGTGTAATATGTAGATCACTTCTTTATATAACAAAATAATAAATTTTTAAAAAAATAGTTACCGTATCCTGCTGTAAATAAGTACCTACCTTTTGCAATTTTCATATTCAAGTTTCTCATAATTTAGTGATCGGATCTATATAATTTTTACACTATTTGAATCAGCTTATCAAATGATTCGAATAGTACCAAAATTCTACAGATTTGATCACTAGATCATGAGAAACTTGGATATGAAAATTGCAAAAGGTGGGTGCTTATTCATAGCAGGATATAGTATATCTTAAAATTTTGATTAAAAAACCATCTTTTGTATTTTAATAAAAAAAATTTTTTACAAAATTTTAATATAAATTATGCTTTGTTAAACTTTAGCCTTAGCTTTAATCTAATACTAATTAAAAATCTTATTTTATATATAAAAAAGATTGTTTTGATTTAATGTTATCCCTTAAACTGTAGAGCAATTCCAGACAAATTTGCCTAGAAAATTACTATAAATTTGCTTATGATCTACTTTT